TTCGCCTGTTTTTAGCAAACAGGGGCTCTCAACCACTACTCCTGCTAGGTTAACAACCTTTGAGTTAATAGCCAAGAAAAACTTGGCGAATCAAGGGGACTATCCGGCCCCCGCCGCCTGGTTTCCCTACCACTCAAACAAAATAGGCAGTGATTAACTAACCGCAAGGTTAACCAGTCGCCCTCCTTAGTACGGAACCTAAAAGGTATGAGGAGTCCGCCTGTTTTTTGGTAAACAGAGGTACTCGACCACTATTCTTACTAGGTTGGCTATACTTAAAGCTGTCGTCTGTAACCCAGCAGGCGTAGCTACTTTGGTTGGACGTCCTGTCTAACGCCTGCTTCTATGCAGCCACCAAAGCAGACGACCAGCCATCCCCCAACGAAATAAACTAAGTACCAAACTTAGTATATTGAATCAAAAGAGGCCAATGGCCGAATAATGCTAAACGCTTACCCCTTATGCAATAGTTGACAGTCCACCTGATCAGGGGCTATCTGCATAGTGGGGCAAAGAATCGGCATCTGTCTAGTTCGGCGGCAATCATTATTATGATTGATTAACTTTGAAAATGTCATACCGCCCAAGGTATCAAAATTTTCTAAGTTAATCAAGTCCATCTCCCATTAGAACTAGACAAGATGCCGACCTAGCAAAGCTTCGAGGGTCTAACTTTCGAAAGGAGCAATCCCTCCTGGAAAGAGAAATTACTCCTTCCGAGGGGCAAATGTTTAGGGTAAAAATTACCCATGACAAATGGACCAATCCGGACCTGCCATGTATCCACCACGTGGGCCAATCAGCGTCCGCCATTTGTCACCCTAAGAGGTCCAACATGGACTAATCAGGCCACGCCACGTGGCCTCCCATATGCCAATTAGGCAAAATGGTCACCAAGGCCCAAAGTCCGAGAGAAGCCCAATTTGCCCTAGTTAACCTAAACCTAAAATTGGCACGCTTCGCAAGACTATAAATACTTAATTAATCCTCATTAAAGGGGATTCAACAGAATGACTCTCACCTAGAGAAAACCAAAACACATTGATCACTCCTCCCCTAGAGGAACCAGATCTCCCACCTTTACTTTCCGCATTTATCACTCCTCAAACAAGTACTAACTTGACCGTTGGAGGCGGAGCTCCCACCACAAGGAGTCTCCGTTGTTTTGCAGGTACAGGCGCAAGGATACCAGTCCCGGAATTGTAACTCTCCCGCAGGACATCAGAAAACCCCGAAACAAGTACCGTTGAAGAAAAATGGAAGAAATAAATGATGTTAAATTAAGGAAGTTGAAATTCGACCCATAATATGAAGGAAAATCTAGTCTCAAGGTAGGAGACATAAAAAAGGAGAGAGAAAATGGAAGAAGATAGAGACTGGGTTTGGTGTTCTTATATGAGAGTTGTGAGACTAGTGGGGACAATAATGGAGTAACCAATCGGGTAACGATTTCATGCAAGGTTCTTTTTATTAAATTTATTAAAATTAAAATTAAAATTAAAATTAATAATGATGATTTAAAAAGCACTATGATTTTTTGGTTTTTTGTTTCCATTGATTTATAATACTATATTAGTCGGTATGAAGTCTCACGAAGCCACGATTGTAAGTTCGAATACCCGACCCCCCTAGAATTGGGAAGGGTTGGATGTACGAGGATAATGAAAACTTGATCCTACTTTATTAACCTAATTTAAATGTCGTATAATCAATAAAGATGCTATTAATGAGAATCAAACTTCCAACGAGATATTAAAAGTTTAAATTATGTATTATTATTGGATTGTGATGGATATTGAAGAAAAACTTTAGGGAGAATTGGTTTTATTAATTTTAAATTTGGGTCATTTGCTTTTAATAATTCTAAGTATCGATTATTAAGGGGCGTTTTTTAATCAACAAGCAAAATGACCGGTGACCTGATTAAAAGGTTACTTTTTTAAAAAACAAAAAAGTTTACCACGTGTCAAATGTTAATTGGTAAAAAAAAATAAAAAATAAAAACCAGCCACCTTCATCCTACCGCAGCCCCACACTCTCCCTCCCTTCCTAGCCCCCACCAGAAACCACCATCTCCCTCCCCAACCCCACTGAAAACCACCCCTTCCCTGGAAACTACCTGCAGCTCCACCCCCTTTCCTCGAAACCACCGCAACCCCACCCCTTCTCTTGAAACCACCCACATCCCCACGCCCTTCCCTTAAAGCCACCATTTTCACCCCCTCACTTTCCCTGAAACCACCACAACCCCAACCCCCTTCGTCAAAAACACCACAACCCCACACCCCTTCCCTCGAAACCACCACACCCAAACCTAGGTTCGTTTTCAAGGTGGTTTCAAGTGCCAAAACCACCACATTCGAACTTAGGCTTTAAGGTAGGTTTTGGCTTTTGGGTGGTTGGGGTTGGGTTCTTGGTGGGGCTAGGGGAGGAGGTCGGTTTGTGGTAGGGGGAAGGAGAGGTGGTTTCAGGTGAAGGGCTGAGGAAGGGTGGCGTTGGCGGTGGGGATGGGATAATGGTTTTAATTTCTTTTTTTCTTTTTTTTGATTTTATTTTTTTAACATTCGTTTTTTTTAGATCAACCACGTGCTAACACGTGTCAAAGTAACCTAGTATAGTATGTCATTGACTTTTGTTGATCGATTTGGACCTGTTAGAAGAAAACACCCTCAAAGTTGGGATTATTCAGAAATCGTCGATAGTTGAAATTATTAAAAGTAAATAGGCCAAAGTTGAAATTAATAAAACTAATTTTTCCAAAATTTACATAAATATGCCAATCAATTAATATTCACATTGTAATCAATATTTTTGTCCCAATTTGATTTTTTTCTTAATCTTATGTTATTGTTAATGGATCACTAATGCAATAATTATTCTATCATTTTCATCCATATAGCACCATACATAATATTATTTTAAATAATGTATTATCAATATAATTCACTATATTCATTATTTAATTATTTATGGATTAGTAATTTTAGTATCATCATAAGAAGTTTACTGACTTTTATATGTAGCTGTTTACAACACGTGACCAATTCTCACGGGGGTACTCTATTAGGGTTATAGGGGTTACTTTTTTAGAAATATATAGGGGTTACGTTGTTAATGTTGTAAAAGTTACTTTATTATTTAGGATTAATACCATTTTTTAATCCCAACTTTCACCAATTTAGTTTCATTAATCCCAACTTTGGATTATTCCTCAATAATCCCAACTTTAAGGTGGCCTATCATTCTTCATACTCAACCGGTAACTAAACCTGTTATATCAGGCCACTTGACATGTGACAAGTCGTGATTGGTCTAAAAATTAAAAAAAACAAAAAACAGAGGAAAAAAAACCACAAAATCAGAAAAACCCAGCTAACCTCCCCTCCCCCACCGTCCCACCCTAACTCCACTACCACTGCCCAGTCTGCCGCCCCTCCCCTCGCTGGAACGCCGCGTCTTCACCACCCCTTGCGTCGCCATTTTCCCCCATCCCCGAAACCCCCTCCCATTCCCCTACGCAACCATCATAACCCCAAAATCGCAGCCTCGAAACCCACAATCACAGCCACGAATCTCCAAAATTACTGCCACTAGCCACAAAAACGGAGGTTTCAGGGGAGGTTTAGGTGTTTTCGAGAGTAGGGGAGGGGTTTCAAGGGAGGTTCACGACCGATCGGCGTATAGGTGGCCGGATTTCGTGGCAGGTGTCAATTGAGAGGATAGAAAAAATGAAAAGGGGTTTTGTGTCGAGGCCAATTAGCCGGCGGAAGGAGGGGAAATGGTTGGCGACGATACCGAGAGGTTTTCTTGGGGAAAACCGGCGCATTTGGGCGGTCCGACGGCGTCATCGGGTGGCTGGCCGGTTTCGTGGCTAGCGTCAAGGTTTTCTGATTATTTTTTTTAATTTTTTAAATTTTGGTTTTTTGTAAATATTTTTTTAACCAATTAATTTATGACACATGTCACTTCAACAAAAAAAAAAAAAAAAAAAAAATTAACCCATTCAACCGGTAACTGGTTTTTGGGATTGAAGAATGATAGGCTACCTTAAAGTTGGGATTATTAAGGAATAATCCAAAGTTGGGATTAATGAAACTAAATTGGTAAAATTTGGGATTAAAAAACAGTATTAATCCTATTATTTAAGTGCTACTCAATAAGTATAATTAGGGTTATTATGTCATATATTAGGGGTTACTTACAGAAGTTTTCAATTAATCATTTGTGATAAAAGCTTGTAAGAGGTACAATTCATTTTACGATATTATACAAGTATATGAATTTCTTAATAGTGACTACATATATTCTAATACTCTATCCGTGTTTAAATAATTGAAATGTTTTGACTTTTAGTGCTATTCATCTAATTCACTTTGACTAATGTTTGTGATTTATAAATAAGAATAGATATAGTCTTGTGAGTACACTACTAGTCTACTACATTTTTTATCTTATACATAAAAATATTGTTACATTAGCCTTTACTCGTTCGTTGCATTTGGTCAAAGATGTAGTAGTGGTATTTGTTAGAATTGTCTTAATAAATAGTTTATGTTATGAAATATTTGTGGATATCCATTATCCTCCTTTTATCATTCCGGAATATTCTAGATCTAGGGTTTATTGTTATCTAAGCAAACCCTAGTTATATTGTATGTATATATATCCCCACTCTATGGATTAATAAACTGATCTATTCTCTCTCCATCTCTCATATTTTCTCCTTATTTTATAACACGTTATCAGCACCATTGCTCTAGATTAATTTCAATATCAATTGAAGTATCATAAATTACTGATCTCAAAAGACAATCAAAGTAACTCCCAACATACTCTCAAATTTTTCTCCAATACTATTACCTCTTGATTTCATGAACATCAACCAGAAAAGTAATTTCCCTAACCCCTCTGCCGAAACCACCGTTGCTCTGCCGATACCACAAATCCTTGTTCGTTGGGCTTGTATGTACTCGTTCTTGCACTCTAATTTTAAGTGAATCATGTCAAACCTTGCAAAACTCGAATTTGTTGCTCTTGATATTACAAGAAACAACTATCTGTCTTGGGTGTTAGATGCTGAAATACATTTAGACGCAAATGGACTTGGTGATACTATTAAAGAAAACAATACTGAAACAAGCCAAGATAAGTCTAAAGCTATGATATTCCTTCTCCATCACCTTCATGAAGGCCTTAAGACTGAGTACTTGACTGTTAAAGACCCACAAGTCCTTTGGAGTAATCTAAAGGAAAGGTATGACCACCAGAAAACTGTGATATTACCAAAAGCTCGTTATAACTGGTTGCATTTAAGATTACAAGACTTTAAGTCTGTGAGTGAATACAACTCAGCCATGTTTAGAATTACATCACAATTGAAATTATGTGGAGAGAAAATCACGGATGCAGAAATGTTAGAAAAAACATACTCTACTTTTCATGCAAACGATGTTGTCCTGCAGACACAATACCGTGAAAAGGGTTTTACAAAATATTCTGAATTGATATCTTGTCTCCTTGTGGCTGAGCAAAATAATGAACTATTAATGAAAAATCATGAATCACGCCCAACTGGCTCTACTCCATTCCCTGAAGCGAATGCGACATCCCATAGTGGGAAAGAGCAAAAGGCTAGAGATTACGCCAGCAGTCGTGGTCGAGGTCGTGGTCGCGGCCGCGGACGTGAAAATGACCGTGGTCGAGGTGGTCATTTTAGGAACTCATACTCTCACCAGAAGTGGGACAATTAAGATGGAAATAAGAATGAGAAGGATAAAAATGAAAATATATGCTACCGTTGTGGAGGAAAAGGCCATTGGTCTCGTGTGTGTCGCACACCAAAACATCTAGTAGAACTCTATCAACAATCAGTCAAACAGAAAGGAAAGAAAGTGGAAAGAAATTTGGTGTACGAGGATGGCGAAGGTGATTTTGATTACAGTGATAAAACTCACCTGGAAGCAGCTGATTTCTTTCCTAATCCTAAAGAAAATAATTGAATAAATTATGATCCATTGGCGAATAAACACTATTAGTTAGTTTGCATTTATTATAGATATTTATCGTAGTACTATGATTTTATGCTTTATGGAACATTTTTTTTTGGATATTTTTATGTTTTCGGATATTTCATTATTATTATTATCAGTCATTTATTAATTTAAGTTATTTAGTTTAGTGAATCTTATTTTAGTTCCTTTAATTCTATTAGAAGATTAATTTGAGAATTTTTAGTACAAAGGTTTGTATAATTGGGCAAGAGGAACGAATATGAGTCTTATAAGAATCATTTTACTTTGCTTGATATATGCATTGATAAAAGAATTTATGGCTTAAAAGGTGCAAGAGATTTAAAGGTAGTTGGATTAATTTAATGCCCCCACATGCTAGGATTAGGGGGAGATAGTATTTATTTCATTATTTTATGTAATCTTTGCACATATATAATAAAATATATTGATGGTCAGTTTGGTACATACATTAACTTAAATATTAATGTTTTGACTAATAAAAGTGGCCACATGTTAATTAATATAATTCAAAAATGATACCATCCTAAAGATGGATATGAATAGATGTCATTCCTAAAGCACGCCTAAAGCATGGTAGCCGTAGTCGAGCCCAATAGATTTCAAAGATAAGAATCTTCAAACAGGAAAAGAGCAATTATTGACAATAGCAAATTTGAGGAAGTAATACATTTTGATAGATCTTTATAAGAGATTATATATAATAAAATGAATATGTACCATATTTATATAGGGTACTCTAGAAGAGTATAGAATTATCCAACAAGCTTAGCATGTATCAAGATTATAGTCAAAGCTCCAGCAGAGTATAAAATTTTGGATCAAGTATTAGTTGATTGTCTTGCCGATTACATAAAGAAACACATTTTGGTGTTCTAATATCACATCATATTCATGGCCATGCATAAAGTAATATTAATAAAGTGATCATTAGTGTTGGAATACTGACCAGAGTTCAAATTCAGAGAAGTGATTGGATGTGATAATTAAATTAGGCCATCCGGGTTTAATAATTACCCGTTATGGAAACTTGAAATTTCATTTGATAATGTGCTGACACTTTCTCATGTTAGATATATATAATGAATTGAATGGAAAGACATAACGTTGAGATTGAGCTTTATTTAGATTGTGATTTAATAGTTTGTTTTGAAGAAATTTCAAGAGATTATATGCTAGTTTTGAACAATTTTGCATGTGAACAAGCTAAGTAATAATAAGTGGCTAGAAGCTCACTAAAACAAGTTGTGTGTAGAGAGATTTTGAGTAACAAGATGCTCATTATCAAAATATTTGGAGAATTAGAAGATCTCCATACAGTGGCTTTACAATTTACATGCAAGTGGTTAATCTCTTAATTGGGGCTATTTTATGTCAGCACATAAGAAATAGAAGAAAGAAAAACGTACAACTACACAACACATGTCTCCCCATTGACATTGATCTCCAGAAGAGAACATATTATGGAAATTGTAATAATAAATACATATGTGTTATGCAATGTATATCTAATAAAGAAATGATTTTTCTTTAAAATTGCTCTCTAGAAGAGAAAAAACTTGTTCAATACAAAACTTCTGAGAGATAAATCTTGATTGTAATCCTTACAATGAAATGAATTTTAATGCAAATTTATATACTAAGTTGGTATAGAATTAGACGCCCCTATAAATGAGATATTTTACCAACTTAGGGGGAGAAGAATCGGCAAAAGTTGGAAAATCGAAAAGAATTTGATGATCCCTATAATGATAGTTTGAAAAGTTATATTCCAACTTTTGTCTATATATTATCAAGATATGTTGCACATTTATGATTTGATTTGTATTTAGTTATGACTCATGTTGCATAGCGTTGAAGATACATTTTGGTCATATTATGTGTATACATTGAGATAAAATCTTGCTAATTATACTTGAATCACTACACCTGAAGTGTGGGTTGTATGATCGGTTCCAAAATAAAGATATGATATATGGCAAGATAGTGCAGTTAATACTAATAGCGTAATAGTATTTAAATACCATAGTGTATGAAATACCGTAAAAGTGGTATAGATATCTGAATTATTACAATAGATGGCCTATGATGTAAGAAAGTTATGATGGTACTGATAAGAAATGTATTCAGATATCATAGTAAAATAGCATGCAAAATGTACGTTAAAGGAATTTTATGATACTGGTACACAAGGGAACCGATGAATAATATGCATATGCATAATAGAGTGGACCAGTGAATAAGGGATCTGAAATATATGTCCATTTTGATGTGGACTAGTGAACCGATGAAATATGGATTTTTAAATCCACACTGTACAGTTCTTGCATTATTTTGAGTCCTATGTATGTTTATATGCATGTATAAGTCATAGGTTAACTGATTGTTCATTGAAAATGTCAGTAGTTGTTAGATGCATTACTTATTGTATATTTTGCTTAATATGTTATCATGTTTTATATATCTCATATTGCATGCATTAGTTTCTATACAATATTTGTGGTGTATGTGCATGTTCATTCAAAGTATAGTAAGGCATATTTACAACTTTGATGGAAGATTAGAAAGACATATTTATATTCCAACGGGCTTATAATTATGGTGAAATTATATATGACGCTGATCTAATATTATTTATGAATCATGTAAGAGAAGTTCCCGAAGAACTTATATGCAACATATTTATAGCCCTACAAATTTTATATCTTAAATATTGCAATTATTATCAAACTCTTGAAAAGTTTATGTGACTACATCATTGACTTCTCAACCTGAAATTTGAGCATATGAAAATTAGTGAGATTTGCTTTTGTATTTGCAAGAGAGCCATCGTTTCAATTATGAAACGTCTAAGGAATATCAATGGAATACTTATGCGTGAGAATGCTTTCTTATGGTCTAAAAGAACCATGATTAGCATTTCTAAATACATGTGTTATATTATAATTTAGATGAGATTGAAGAACGACATTAATAATATGAAGTTTTGTCATCAAATTATTCTTAATGAATATTTGATCAAATAATGATCATCGATTTCTATTATTCACGACCTCCAGAAAAAGGTCTAACCGCATAAGTTTAACTTTTAAAGTAACTTTATTCAAACAGATGTTTGGAATGATGTAGAGATAAATACATGTATGGTGAAATGAAGACACTTCACACATTCACTTGAAGACTTGAAGATGCAATTTCAGTTTAGGAGGATCGAAGACCAATGAATGATATTTTACTACATATTAGAAGATATCAAACTATATTGGATTCATTGTTGCGGTACTAGAAGATCTCAGGTTATGTATTCATAGGGAGATGCGCTGCACTCTTTTTCCCTTGACCATGGTTTTGTCCCACATTGGGTTTTCCTGGTAAGGTTTTTAATGAGGCGGCATCTCGAGCGTATTACAAAGAACGTTGTACTCTTTTTCCTTCATTAAGTCTTTATCCCACAGGTTTTTTCCTAATAAGGTTTTAACGAGGCACACTCTTCGATAATGGACATCCAAGGGGGAGTGTTATGAAATATTTGTGGATATCCATTATCCTCCTATATCATTCCGAAATATTCTAGATCTAGGGTTTATTGTTATCTAAGCAAACCTTAGTTATATTGTATGTATATATATCCCCACTCTATGGAATAATAAACTGATCTATTCTCTCTCCATCTCTCATATTTTCTCCTTATTTTATAACAGTTTATTAATATTCATCAATTTTTATAATTATACTTGTTTATAATTAAAGATATCATTAGTTAAAGTTTTGCATTGACATAAACACAACGACTGTACAGAGGAAGAATCAAATAAGCATTGCGTGCATAAATTGCTACAAGTATAATAAAGCGAGGTGAGTTAGGGGGTTGAAATATGCAAATGCCTTCCTATCTCTATGACAAGTAAAATATAATAGTTCACTCCAAAATACTTGTACCAAGTACGAGTATAATTTAAGGTTAGATTAAGAAAAGAATTGGAAACCAACCACTTTAAAGGAAATGGATTTACATTAAGCATTATTGGTTAGTGGAGAATGAAAAGTAATAATTCCATTTAACAAGCCGGTGTAAATGCTGTACAGGAGGAGCCTTAACTAAGTCATAATACCTATTTAAAACTCTTATTAATCATTTTAATGACTTAGATGATGTAACTAATGATGTATTGATTCGACTAATATTATTTATGCTAGTGTGTATGCTGTACAGGGGAAGCGGCGACGATGGCGGTGGAGGTGCGACTGGGTGGCGGTTGGGTGGTGGGGGTAAGGTAAAAGGGTGGTGGCTAGTGTGTGTGTGGTGGTGGAGGGGTGGCTAAGGAAAGGGAATGGAAAAGGCAAGGGGGGTTGGGGAATGAGTTTAGAACAATTTTGGGTAAACCCAAAACTAATGGAGAATGGGAATGACAAAAGATACAAAACAAACACTTACAAAGGGAATCATTCCCATTCCCTTTCTCCATTACAACGAACTAAACGGCCCCTAAAACTTAACCAAATAGAGATGAACATGCTTTTTAGAAAAAGAAAAAAAAAGAAAATAATTACATACTTGAACTACAAGAGTACATAACAAAGTTACGTAGACATCAGTTTTTTAAACGGTAAGTGTTTTGGGTAAAAATACCAAAGACCACGTGGCCCAATAGAATGGTGACACGTGTCACCTAAAAAAGAGGTTCACATGAACCAATCCACTGCTGACACGTGGCATCCCC